ACGTAACTGCACATATAGATCCTAGATTATTATAACCAATTATGTGCACTCACTGTCATATTCATAAAATTATTTCTGACACATTACTTTAGATTTTGATACTTAATGAAGTGGGCTTGGAGCAAATGCCTGTGACTAGCTGGCTGCAATATGCGAATAAACGTGTGCGTTTTGCAAGGGGCGACCACATACTCAAAAGACAACTTGAACAGAGCCGTACAAAAAGGAAAAACAAAGCAGGCCCCTTGATTCCAAGAATGAACTTAAAAGACTTTTCCTGAGACTCTAACCAGGAGTTTCATGTTCATTGTAGCAAGCATGACCACGTAGACTGGGGAATTCTGAGTTGCCGTATCAAAAAAACAAAAACAAAAACAAAACAACTCTTTGGAGATCTGATGTTTGATCAATAATAATGATGGCCATGCATTAATTCACATTCAGTGTGATCTGCACATCCATGTATAAATCATGGATTCATACATAGAGAAGGAATTCATGTATTCCTATGATAATCATCAGAAAAGCAAGAAAGATTAGCCAAACTAAACTTGGGAAAAGAACTGTCTTGAGTTTTGGATGGGTAAAGATCCTGTCTGGTTTTGGAAGCTCAGCAAGGTTAGCCATGGTCAATATTTTTCTTTTTTGGTCGTGTCAAGAGTAACTTGAGGAACTGCAAGTCGCTTCTCGTGTGAGAGAATTGGCCATCTGCAAGGACATTGCCCAGGGAACGCCTGGATGTTTTGATGTTTTTACCATCCTTGTGGGAGGCTTCTCTCATGTCCCTGCATGAGGAGCTGGAGCCGCGCTCTCCCCAGATTCGAACCTGCGACCTGTTGGTCTTGCAATTGGCAAGTGACTTGTAGGCACAAGACACAAAAAGGACAGTATGGTTTGACAGGGTCAATTTTAAGTCAAGCTAAAATTTACCTATCACAAATATGAAATATGCTGTTTGTTGACTTACAATTCTGAGTACTGTACACCTAAACATAAGTAAGATTTCACTTGACAATCGTATTGGTGAACAGTTAAGTCCAGGGGCAACTTGAAGGGACATACATACTTTTTTATTAATCATCTTGATACATCTCTAGAAAAAAACAAAATTACTGAGTCATTCTGTAGCCTTGCTTTTAGCTAACTGATCCATATCTCAAGTAGTTGGAAAGCCAGTGCCAGAAATGACTGAAAATTCCATCTGAAAGAAGGAAAGAAGAGATGTGCTTGCTTGGGAGAAAACCACTTTTCCTTTTCAAACAGAACAAAAACCTCACACTTCAGTTTAAGAAGCACATTGTCTCTTCACCTTAGGAAAATATGTGTGCATCTTCTTTGAATCCTAGTCTAAGGATGAGGAAACATCTATAATCACTAGTTATCGTAGTAGTACCCTGCTTTCATACCCAAAGAGCAAAAAGGGGCACACCCAAGATTACATGGTTTTCTCCTTACCAAATTATTGTGAGGTAGAAATCGTGTCTGATAATAAGTAAGATCAGCCAGGTTAGAACTTGGATGAGAGACTGCCAATGAATACCATGGACTATAAGATTTATACCACAGGAAGAAACTGGCAAAACTATCACTGGTAATGTCTTTTTTCAAAAAATCCTATTAAATTTGTGGAGTCACTTTAAGTTGACATTCAACTAAAGGAACATACCTACACACACACACACACACACACACACACACACACACAGGGAACCATGGAAGACAGATATATGAGCAAGGTCAATCAATGATCTCCATGGTTCCACATGGAATGGATAAAAAAGTGATGACGTCAATGTACATATTGTATAGAGACTAAGAAAATTGTGTTCATGGTTAAAGATAAAGAGGAAAATGCCATATTGGTACGGGGTAGAGGGGAGAAAGGAAAAAGTGAAAACAATAATAACGTTCTCAAGAGATGAATAGACAATATAGGACAGTGAGAACTAAGAAGAAGGTGCAATGCTATATTACATAAAATGTGTATCTGTAACAGCTGTTCATTATCTACTCAGAGACTGCTCTATTATACATTTAATAAAATTATTTTAATATGACAAACCTTCTAATGGCAAATTGTATGTCTATATTTCTTACTAGAGGAACCCTGCAGGTTCAACTTGTATGTGTTATAGAAAAAATGTGACAAGAGAGGAAAGGTTAAAAAGCCAATTCTTTTTACCTTGAGGACAGAATCATTTCATGTCCACTGCCAAATGCGTAATTCTGCCCTAAAGGTGTGTTCTGCCATCTGACCCTATAACAGAAAACTGGGGATACATCTGTCCCTGCAGATGATGCTGAACTACGGCTCTCATTATTCGTAGTCACTTTAGCCAATGCTGGGAAATGCAATCCATCTTATCAAGACATCCACAAACTCTGCTAGACCACTACACCAAAAGTGCCACACAGACACCCATCAAATGGCATTATTGGCATATTTTCTCCTGAACTCTAAAATTCAGCAGTGTACATTTCCGCACTTGCACACATCCTACTTTTTCAAAGTAACAACTGAAACTATTTTCCTTAAAACTTTCTGCAAAGCTACCACATTTTTTTCTACTTCACACTATACTCAGCCAAACAAGTTGCTATAGATCATATGCTATCATGTGATCACTACTAATGCCTGAATTAGATCACAGTTTAAGTTCTCTCATAGCCCATAGTTTATATAGGTTCCCCGTGCAATTCTTTCACTCCTTCAAATTGAACAATGATTACTACAGGCAATCACTGTACCCAGTTACTGTAACTTTGAGCTGAAGGAGTCTAGCCACTTGTAATTGTATCACTATCAATATTGTACCCTGGCCTTCTAAAACTAGGACCAGGCAACTGTCACAGTCTTGAATCACTCTTCCTGATGCGCACAAAGTTTTAATGGGAAACACAGGAAGCAGCCTTATCTTGATGAGTCAGACCATTGGTTAATCAAGTCGAATACTGTCTACTCTATTCTGGCCAGCAGCTATGGCTCTCTTTTGACGATTTCACACAGGACTCTTTAGTAGACCTGTCTGGAGGTCTTCATATATATTCGTTAGCTTCTAGAATTAGACAAAATCCAATGTGTTTAAGGTGGGATCAATCTACTCTTCCTTGTCCTAGCAATGGAAAACTGTTTCATAATTCAGTAATATATAAAGAAAGAAGAGCGGAGGGGAAAAAATGTGGCAGCAGCTTAAAAATTAAATGGTTTTTATTATAGCTATTGTGGATGTGGATATACACCCACCTCTTCAGATGCAGTACTTTCAGGTGCAGATTTTTATGAGCTCAGATTTACACTATACTGCATCTGAAGAAGTAGGTTTATATTCATGAAAATAATTTATATTTATATTCATGAAAAAAATAAAAACAAATTAATTTTAAAGCCATGTGTGGTTTTTGTATTTCTCCTTCTGTCTTCCTTCTTTCTATTCTGCAAGAGGCCAACATGGCTGTTTCTTTTAAAACTGCTTGATATTGAAAAGACTTGGGTATGGGTACAACAGATTGGGGGGGGGGGTATGTTACAGCAAGGGGATAGGAAAAGTAAGAAAAAATAAGATGTAGGCAAAAAGGGAGGTAGCTGAATAGCCTTTCAGAAAATTTGCAGGTTTGCATAATAGTCTCCTCCTATGTTTAAGGATCTTCCTTTTAAAAAGTGTAAAATCAGGTGTGCCACAGGTATAGCAAGAGCTCTACATAAATAAAAGTTTTCTATACAATTCCTTGCATATAATGCATAGCATTGATAGCAACTATCCTTCATCATGATTGGAAACACTTTTCCATTTAGTTGATTTGGACTTCAGTAGAGACAGCTTGATGTTAAAAAAATTTCACTTGAAAAAACACCCAGATAACAGCATGTGAATTACCATAGGACTAGTGTTCAAGAAAAGGTTATAATACAATCCTATACAACATGCCCATGGGAACTGTACCCTTGGTTTCACCTGCCACATCTGACAAAATATGTCATTTCTAGGCATGATCTATATATTCCAGGGGGTTCTATGCTATATTTTCTTTGGAAGTTACCATGGGGTCATGCTGGCAAATTCCTGGAGAGGATGCCTCTGTAGGATTTTTCTAGATCCTCCAGGAAGACTCCATTGTAAGTTCTAATGGAAGTTATTTGTTTTAATAGAGTTCACGATTATCAGTGGTTTCCTGCATCCACCGTAAACACATGTCTGTTGTTGCCTGTTCAGTTCTGCAAAGGCTCTAGAACAGTGGTTCCCAAGCGTTGGATCCCCAGATGTTCTGGCCTTCAACTCCCAGAAATCCTAACAGGTGGTAAGATGGTTGGGATTTCTGGGAGTTGTAGGCCAAAACACCTGGGGACCCACAGGTGGAGAACCACTGATCTAGAACCGCAGGCAATGGATGCTGGCACAAAATGGGTTTGTTGGGATTTTTTAACCAAAACATTCAAGGCACTCTAACAGGACCTTTGTTTAATGAAGATAAAATTATCTAAATTCAATAACACTTTTAAAATATAATACACCCACAAGGTCTACATACACAGTCAAAGGTAAAATTCTCGAGAAGTGGGAATAAGATCAAGTTCAAAAGATTTCTAATCTAATCAAATCTTCCACCAATTCTTTAACATCTTCTCTCAATTTAGAGAAGCATTATCAAAAACAGAATGAGTCCTCCTTGGAATATCTAGACTTTAGAATTATCTTGTGGGATGTAATTAGGAAAGAATGATAGCAGCTCTTGTGAACAGTTTTTTTATATAAATTTCAGCATTTTACGAACAGTTGCTTGGTGTTTTTCAGCTTTATTTAGTTTAAGAATGATTCACTACTCCAATTCCTTTTAACAAAGATTTAAGCTACCGAATTCTACCTTTCCGGTGGTCCAGTCTACAAGTAAACATACATTAATTTGGTCAAAGAAAGGTTTTAGAAATGGACTGAGTGATTATCTTATCCATCAAAAATAACAAAAATGCTAATAAATAAGCAGCTGACATTATATGACCTTACCGCATCAAATTCCGCTTGATCATCTTCAGGCAGATCGCTTGTTTCATAAACATCCGGCTCATTCCTGGCCTGGAAACACAAAAGTAATCCAATGAAGTCAAAGATTCGGAATATGAATACAGGCAATCTCCAAGTTATGAATAAGTTACATTTGTATGCAAGCCAAATTTGTATGCAAGTCGAAACAGGTACATTTTTAAGTGTAACTCCAGCCAAAAATATATGTATATTCTTTAGCTTTGGATAGCATGAGAAAGGGTGAACACCCCTGTGGTGCTTGTCTGTGCCCGTTCAGAAGATTTCACCTCACTTTCTATGACAATCAGATTTTGGAAAATTTGGCTTGTTGCGGAAGCAAAGCTTGGTGAGAAAGCTTCAGTGGAGACACCTTTTCCCCATGATAACTTTTTCAGGAGCGAATTTCCCTTCTGAGGGGTACATTTCTCTCACTTCCTGTTGTTTCACCCCTGTTCTTGACAATGAGCCATTTGTAAGTCGGATGTTCATAATTTGGGGACTGCCTGTGGTAGAGTAGACCTAAAGACGATCTATAGACATGGCATACCCTCAAACAAGAACCCCAAAATTAATTCTTAAGAGTCGACACACCAAAACCAGACAGCAGAAGTTAACAAATCAAAAGTACCATGAGATAAGGATTCATTTGTATGAACAGATCAAATCACATGTCTTTGGACCAACCTACATAACAATAACACCACCACCACCACCACAACAACAACAACAGGTCCACAACCAATTATTTGTTCTACCAAACATATTGATAATTGATAATCTTGTTATGCCTATTCCATCTGACCTAAAACAGATAAATTCGAATCTTGTAGCTTAACGGAATCCTTCCATCATTGGCCCATCTATGATTGCCTGGTATGACCTAAGACATGTGATGCATTATTTATTCATTTGTTTATTTATTTAATTTATTCCAGCCTTTCTCCTTACACAGGCTCCAGGATATTGTTTTTAAAATACTTGTATAAACTACTTATATAAAAGTTGAAATACAGTAAATGATAATTTAGTTTTAAAAACCCACAAGAGTTGAGCAAAATAACACAATTAAAACCTAAAACTGTTTCAACTGTTGCTGGGGAAAATTATGGTCAAGCTGATATTTTTGTAAATCTGTCTTCTATTACTACCCTGGTTACTGAGGAACCCAGGCAGTTCCAAAGGAACTTCCACTGTTCCCCGGAAAAACATCTGAAAGCCCCCAGCTTAAACACAATTAGATTATGTGAATAAATTTACCACACTGCGGACAACCACATAAGCAATTACAATCAGCCCTCTGTATCCATGGATTCAGCCAACCACAGCTCAAAAATACTCACCAAAAAAAGCAAACCTTGATTTTGCCATTTTATATAAGGGACACCATTTTTCTTTGCCATTTTATAAATAATGGAGCTTGAGCATCTGTGGATTTTGGTATCCACTGGACTCCTGTAACCAAATCCCAATGGATAATCAGGGGCCTATTGTACTTATAAAAAAGCTTCAGAGAAAGGTGAAAAGCCCACAGCAGGCATAAATAACATTGCAGGTACAAATAACCTGATTACTACAGATCAATAAATTCTGAGGATTTTGTAGATAGTGAGCACCTTACTTTGTTCGTGGTTATCAGGTGTGAGGCACAGGACTTTCTGTAACAACAAATTGATTCTCTCAAGGATTTAGAGAAACAAAGAACTGTTTGGAAAGAGTGAGTTAAATCCCTCATAAACCTAAATGCCTTGTCATGAAGGAATACACAAACACTCTTACAGTTGAGTGAATGGTAAACCTATCAGATGTAATATGATCCTACTTTCTGCCCAAGTCAGAACCACCATCTGAACAAAGCACTGTTAGACAGAAGCCTGCAGTTTAAAAATCCTAGTCTGCTTAGAGACAGTTTTCCTGCAACAGAAGACACAACAATGTCCAATACACTAACACCCAGATCACAAGCCTACAGAATTGACATCAAAACAAGTATTGTCTCAAAGAAAATACCATACTAGGGTAAACACAGAGAAGATCTGTCCATCTCCAGTGTTTCTGCACATTTGAATATTTATCAAGGAACAAATTGTAATGTCTTGGAAGAAATATGCACAGACTAAAAAGTTGTGAATTCTACCCCTTTCAATCCTTGATGCCTGCCAGTACATCATCCGGGCGCTTCAACTGCTCTGAAATCTCTGCCTTAGTTTCCTGTGATTCTTTTTTTTAAAAAATAATCATTATTACTTCAATGCCTGAAAAATAAAGGTCTTACTTAGATGAGCTAACTCTACAGTATTTATCCATTTAGTCCAGTAGTGTATACTCTGGCTGGGTGTTGGTTCTCCAAAGACTTTTCTGGTATGGCTCCTTTATCTTTTTAAACATTGATACCAGGAATGAAGCCTGGGACATTCTGCATGCAAACCTTCCCCAAATGCCAAGAGACTACAACAGAATCACAAGCCAAGTGTACAAATGTTGTCAGGGCATATAAGAAAGTCATTCTCAGTCTGATGCATGTGGCTGTCATTGGTTGCCCATATAGCCCCCAAAGCCCCAGATCTCAGATGGCTTATGATAAGCTATCATGAACATTGAGCACCAACTATTGGCAGCAATTTTATAGAGACTCAATAGACTGCTGGAAATAGCAGGACGAGGGGCAGTGTTTTGTACATTGATATCAATGGACAATATGCATCTAAATGTACAATATGTGCATAATTCTGTTCCATCCCCTGCCAACACTAGAAGCAGTCTTCAAATTATTTGAGCTAGCTCTTAGTGCAATACCAAAGTTTACCACGCCTCTGTTTCCAGCAATGGCCATTTCCTTTCACGCATAACGTGTACAGCAATTCAGCTGTAGCAAAACGACACAGGGAAAATTCTTACCCTTAAGGAAGTAGAGGAAAATTATATAAATCCAATCACTTGAGGAAATAACTAGTGCTCTACATGTGTTTTATTGTGTGCAAGATCTGCTGCAGCTCTTAAATACTAAGAAAAAGGGAATTCTTATATCCTGAAATACACTCTTTTCTTTACCATTTCATAGAATACTTGAAGACTGCCAAGGTTGTTAATCTCTGAATTTCATCAGCATTAGACTGGACTCTGGCTCCCCTTAAAGCAGGGATGTGGAATGCCCAACTCTCCAGATACTGATGTGCTGCAATATTATATTGTTTTGCAAAACCAACTATGTTGGGTAAATTGACATGATTTGCAAGGTCACATGTCTAGCTTCATGCTCTACTACAGTGATTCTCAACCTGGGGTCTCCAGATGTTTTTGGCCTTCAACTCCCAGAAATCCTAACAGCTGGTAAACTGGCTGGGATTTCTGGGAGCTGTAGGCAAAAAACATCTGGGGACCCCAGGTTGATAATCACTGCTCTACTACATTCAGCTAGGGTCAAGAGACTCTTACTTTCCATGTTAAATCTTCATAGACATCTCATTGTGCATTCAGTCTGATCCTCCTTCCTAATGCAAAACCTCCTTTTAGGTCACCCTGCTGAGAAGTGGAGGGGAATTGGCTTCCTTATTTTGGGTGGGTATTGTAAACAGGGTTTCAGTACAAAACTAATAATAACTGATGTTAAAAGTCAAGGTGTCATTTAGCAAATGAAATTGTCACTTGGTGAATGAAATCAAAGAGCACTGGGGATTAAAGGAGGAGGAAGTGGTGATCTAAAACATTTATTTATTTGTATATATATTTAATGTATACTGGCATTCTCCTTGCATAGGATCCGAGCCAGTTTATGAACATAAAGTACAATCTCCATATCTGTGTATACATTTTCAGACTTCATATGGATATATGAAACCACAACTGGCAATTCCACACAACAGGCTGGCATAACCTATGGTCCTCCAGATGTTTGGCCCTCCTGCTCCCGGAAGCCCTAGCCAGCTTGTCCCAAGTTCAGTAATTCTGGGAGTTGAAGCCCAAAACACCTGCAGGACCACAGATAGTGCAGATCTGCCATAGAGTCATGCTGGACATCCTAGAAAATTCCTAGAGATAGCATATTTTGTCAACTGTGGATAAATTAAACTGCAGGTGACAGTCCCAAACATACAAAATTTAGAACACAACCAAATGACAATTCAGATAAAAACAGCTACATTTTTTCTTTCTTTTTTACTGAGAAAAAATTATAATTGTGACCACGTTAACATGTTGTTTTTCCTACTGGGGCCCCTTCTACATTGCCATATACAGATAATCTGTTTTGAACTGGATTATATGGCAGTGTGGACTAATCTAATCCAGTTCAAAGCAAACAATGTGGATTATCTGCTTTGATAATCTGGATTATATGGCACTATAGAAAGAACCTTAATTTGTATGTTGCTGCAAAGTTCCACTTAGGCCGCTTTTACACTGCTCTACAATCCAGATTATCAAATCATATAATCCACATGATCTGCTTTTAACAAAGCCCCCTTCTACACTACCATATAAAATCCAAATTATCTGCTTTGAACTGGATTATATGGCAGTGTGGACTCATAAATCCAGTTTAAAGTAGATAATGTGGATGATCTGCTTCATATGGCAGATTATATATGATAATCTGGATTATATGGCAGTGTAGAAGTGGTCTGGGTTTCTTTGCTGGGGAACATCTGACTGTAGCGCTCATGCAATTGTTGCGTGCCTTTGAGTCATTTCTGACTTACTGTCAACCCTATTAGAGGATTTCCTTGCTAAGATTTGTTCCGAAGAGGTTTACCATTGCCTCCCTCTGAGGCTGAGAGGGTGTGCCTTGCCAAATGCGACCCAGTGAGTCTCATGGTGGAGAGAGAGAGAGCCTCCTTCTTTACTACTGCTGAAGCAAGTCAATCCAAAAAATATTCTGTATGCACATTAAATTGTTATATGTTTATTGTGTTTTTAATGTGTTTTTACTTGTCTAACTTTGTTGTCACTGGGCTTGGTCCTACATGTAAGCTGTCCCGAGTCCCTTCAGGGAGATGGTGGCAGAACATAAAAATAAAGTTATTATTATTATTATTTGAAACACAACAAGATGAGTCCACAGCAAACAAGATCACTCTGCTGGCTGTTGTATTGGATCACACATCGGACACTTCCCAAGTATCTAGGACTGTGTGATGTATCAGCGAATAATGTGTGCAGATCCCAGTAAGGTGGCATTCTGCAGCAGGCAGATGGCAATTTTGTCAGCGCCGAGTGTGTTTAAGTGCAGGCCAAGTCTTTAGGCACTGCACCCAGTGTGCCGATCATCACTGGAACCACCTTGACTTGCTTGTGCCAGAGTCTTTGCAATTGTTATTATTAGTAGTAGTAGTACTAGTATGCGCAGCGCCCAGTCACAAATCAAAGAACACGAAAGGCATTGCAGACTAAGGCCCCTGCCACACAACTGTATAAAATCCACATTGAACTGAATTATATGGCAGCGTGGACTCAAATAAGCCAGTTCAAAGCAGGCATTGTGGATTATCTGCCTTGTTATTCTGGATTATATGGCTGTGTTGAAGGCCCCTAATTCAACCTGAGAAGTCAGCCACAGCAGAGCAACTGATGAACCAATCTGGACACAGAATATTATTTGACAACACAGAAATGCTGGACCACTCTAAGAACCATCAGAGAAGCCACTGAAATCCACAAGCATGTGGGTAATTTCAACAGAAAGGAGGAAATCATGAAAATGAACAAAATTTGGTTACCAGCATTAAACAAAACACCAGAATCGAGACAGTAAATAAAAAACACACAGAAACTGGGGAACTTCAGACACAGGGATCCTGTCTGTCATTATTGAGCGCCCTAGGGTGCATCTACATTGCAGAATGAATGCAGTTTGACGCGATTTGAACTGCCATGGCTGAATGCTATGCAATCAGGAGAGGTGTAAGTTTCACAGGGCCTTCATCCTTCCATTCCAAAGGGAGTTGGTGCCTCACCAAACTGCAGCTCCCATGATTCCAGAGCACTGACAGTGAAAGTGGTGTCAAACTGCATCAATTCTACAGCATTGAGCAGGCCTCCCCCCACTGCGGCCTTCCAGCTATTTTGGCCTCCAATTCCCAGAATTCCTGACCATTGAACAAGCTGGCATGGACTTCTGGGAGTTGGAGGCTGCAGTTGGAGGAGGCCTGGTGTAGAGGCCCCTCCAGTTTGCCTGCCCGTGTGGCCCTGAAAGAGCCTGCCCCCTTCTCCTCAGCCATCCCTTCCATCCACAGAACCCAGGCACCACACCCGACCCCACCCTTCCCTCCCTTTTCTTCAGCCTGCAGGCCCCTCAGCCTGCCTGCCTTCCTCTCTTCCTCCCTCTCAGCCCTCGCCCAATTCACTCGCCACTCACAATGCCGGGCAGGTCCGCGTACTTGGGGTCGGCCATGGCCAGGGAGGGCGCGATGGGCTGGATGCTCTGAGGCCGGCCGAAGGCGAGGAGACCACCCAAGTCTCGCGAGATGAAGAAGGCAACGGAGAACTGGAAAGCGGACCTCGAGCGCGCGGTGGCTTCTGGGAGTTGTAGTCACCGGGAAAGGCAAGCAATTGCGACTTATGGCTTGGGAAGGAGCAGGGATCATGACGTCACTGCTTTCAGTCTCTCTTCTCAGCCTACCATTGATCACATGATCATTGTGTTTTATCCACCAGCAGTTTGACACTAAGGGCTCCTTCCACACAGCCCTGTATCCCAGAATATCAAGGCAGAAAATCCCACAATATCTGAATGTGGACTCGGATAACCCAGTTGTGGGATTTTCTGCCTTAATATTCTGGGATACAGAATATCCCAGATATAAAGCCCCTTCCAAACAGCGGAATAAAATCCCACATTTTCTACTTTGAACTGGGATTTATGGCAGATTGGACTCAGTCCAGAGATTATCTGCTTTGAACTGGAATAAATGTCAGTGTGGATCCATCTAGTCCAGTTCAAAGCAGATATTGTGGGATTTTCTGCCTTGATATTCTGGTATATAGGGGTGTGTGGAAGGTGCCCTAGATGGTCAAAGCAGATAATCCATATCTGCTTTGAACTGGGTTATATAAATCTACACTGTCATATAATCCAGATGATGAATGCAGATAATCCACATTATCAGTTTTGAACTGGATTAGATAGGCCCACACCGACATATAATCCAAAGCAGATAATCTGGATTTTATATGGCGGTATCAAAGGGGCCCCAGTTTATCAAAGCAGATAATCCACATTATCGGTTTTGAACTGGATAGAGTCCATACTGCCATATAATCCAGTTTAAAGCAGATAATCTGGATTTTATATGTCAGTGTCAATGAGCCCCCAGTTCATCAAAGCAGATAATCCACATTATCGGTTTTGAACTGGATTTTCTGAGGGCCCTTCCACATAGCCATATAACCCAGAATATCAAGGTAGATATTATCGAAGGCTTTCATGGCCGGAATCACTGGGTTGTAGGTTTTTTCGGGCTATATGGCTATGGTCTAGAGCAGGGGTCCTCAAACTTTGTAAACAGAGGGCCAGGTCACAGTCCCCCAAACTTTTGGAGGGCTAGATTATAATTTGAAAAAGAACATGAATGAATTCCTATGCACACTGCACATATCTCATTTGTCGTGCAAAAAACACTTCAAATCAATACAATAATTAAAATGAAGAACAATTTCAACTAAAATAAAATTATTAGTATTTCAATGGGAATTGTGGGCCTACTTTTGGCTGATGAGATAGGATTGTTGTTGTTGTGTGCTTTCAAGTCATTTTAGACTTAGGTTGACCCTGAGCGAGGGCCAGGTAAATGACCTTGGAGGGCCGCATCCGGCCCCCGGGCCATAGCTTGAGGACCCCTGGTCTAGAGGCATGCCTCTAGACCATGGCCATGTAGCCCGAAAAAACCTACAACAACACATGGTAGATAATCCACAGTATCCACTTTGAACAGATTTATCTGAGACCACACTGCCATACAATCCAGTTCAAAGCAGATAATCTGGATTTTCTATGGCAGTGTTGATGGGCCCTAAGAAATGTCCCATTAAACAAAGGGTGTGTCTACACTGTAGAACAGGGGTCCTCAAACTAAGGCCCGGGGGCCAGATGCGGCCCCCCAAGGTCATTTACCAGGCCCTCGCTCAGGGTCAACCTAAATCTGAAACTACTTAAAAGCACACAACAACAACAACAATCCTATCTCATCGGCCAAAAACAGGCCCACATTTCCCATTGAAATACTAATAAGTTTATATTTATTAACATTGTCCCTCATTTTAATTATTGTATTGTGTATAAGTGTTTTTTGCACTACAAATAAGATATGTGCAGCGTGCATAGGAATTCATTCATGTTTTTTTTCAAATTATAATCCGGCCCTCCAACAGTTTGAGGGACTGTGACCTGGCCCTCTGTTTAAAAAGTTTGTGGACCCCTGCTGTAGAATGAATGCAGCATGGCACCATTTTAACTGTCGCAGTTCAATACTATGGAATCATGGGATTTGTAGTTTGGTGGAGCACAGTTCTCTTAGATAGAGAAGGCAAAATACCTTTTAAAATTACAATCCCCAGGATTCTATAGCATTCAGCTACTGGCAGTGAAAAGCGGTGCCAAACTGCATTCATTTTACCGCATAGATGCAACCCAAACTTTTGGAATTGTTCGGTAAGGATCAAGCATACTGTAAAGAATAAAAATAACATTCTGAACTCGCATTGCACTTTTTAGCACAAATATGAAAACACAGTCCCCATCTACACTGTTATATAATCCAGTTTCTGAATCCAGATTGTCTGCTTTGGACAGGATTATATGGCAGTGTACATTCAGCCACAGTGTTCAATTCAAAGGGCACTGGATATTGTTGTGGCACAGTGCACTCCCAAAGGGAGTGGTTTATTTGGATGAGTTCATTGTGGAATTTAGCTCATTTGGGAGATGAAAGGAAAAGAAAAATATATGATGGGAGAGAAGGAAAGAAAGAGAAAATAAAGAAAAGGTTAGGAAGGAAGAAAACAAGGGAAGATGAATGAAGGAAAGAAGAGGAGAAAGGAAGGTGTATGAGGGAAAGGAAGGAAGGGGGGGGGGAGAAACAAAACATAAACCCAGGCAACACCGGACATATACGCTAATTAAAAATAAATCCTAGTGTATAATTGCATCCTAAGCTTGAATCAGTAGCCAGCATCACGAGAATGATGGGATCTGCAATCCAAAACTATCTGGAGATGCATTCCTTTCACCATCCCATCCCTAAGGCAAGCTTCATTTGAAATTTCTTGGCAGCTCCTTCCTGCAGAACCCTAATTTGCTGATGTATAAGACACAATGCAATACCTATCCTTTTAAGATGAGCTATTATAGCAGTGAACAGTGGTTGCGTCTTTTTTATTTTATGTCAAAGGCGTTGTCAATTATTCATTATGTCTTTTTATTAGGAGAATGCACCAAGTGATGTTGAGTTTCTCTGTTAAAATGTGACTTCAGATAATAGGAAATGATATGTTTGCTCCAACTTTGATAAGATTAGAAGGAATAGAAGTTAAAACTGGACGGAGTGAAAATGAATAAGATACTAAATCATATCAGAAACTTACAAGATGGATTATCAATTCTCATCCCCGCCCTTCTATAATTTGTATCATAAACTGGAAGCTTAAAACATTCGGAGGGGTACTTTTAAAACAGGAAACAGAAATAAGCAAGGCTGAGCTCACTCAGGGCCCTTCCGCACAGCCATATAACACCGAATATCAAGGCAGAAAATCTCCACAATATCTGCTTTGAACTGGGTTATCTGTGTTTAGCGCTTTATAGGCTAAAGCCAGCACGTTGAATTGTGCTCGGTAGCAGACAGACAGCCAGTGAAGCTGGCGTTGCAGGGGGGTTGTATGCTCCCTGTACCCGGCTCCGGTGACCAACCTGGCCGCCGTCAGTTGGGCTAATTGAAGCTTCCAAGCAGTCTTCAAAGGCAACCCCACGTAGAGTGCATTGCAGAAATCTATTTGGGATGTAACAAGAGCGTGGACCACTGAGGCCAAGTCAGACTTCCCAAGATACGGGTGCAGCTGGCACACAAATTTTAATTGTGCAAAAGCTCCCCTGAACCTCCGTCAAGACTTGGGGTTCCAGGCTCAGAAATGTGTCCAGGATCACTCCCAAGCTGTGAACCTGCACCTTCAGGAGGAGTGTAACCCCATCCAGCACAGGCTGTAACCCTGTACCCGCTTCGGCCTTTCGACTGACCAGGAGTACCTCTGTCTTGTCTTGATTCAATTTCAGTTTGTTCACTCTCATCCAGACCACCACAGCTGCCAAGCACTGGTTCAGGACCTGAACAGCCTCCTTAGTAGCAGGTGGAAATGAGTGATAGAGTTGAACATCATCTGCTTACAGGTGACATCAAACTCAAAACTCCGGATGATCTCCCTCAATGGCTTCATGTAGATGTTAAACAACATGGGAGACAGTATTGAGCCCTGTGGGACCCCACAGGACAATGGCCGTGGAGCTGAGTAGGTGTGTCCCATCAACACCTTCTGGGAACGGCCTTCCAGAAAGGACTGAAGCCACTGTAGAACAGTGCCTCCGAGGCCCATCCTGCAATGATACCGTGGTCAACAGTATCAAAAGTCGCTGAGAGGTCCCACAGAACCAACAGGGACACACTCCCCTTGTCCAGTTCCCAGCGTAGATCATCCACTAGTCGACCGAGGTTGTCTCATTACCATGTCCTGGCCTAAAGATTTATGAGTCTACACTGACCATGTCATGCAGTTTCAAACTGAAATATATGACAGTGCAGATGGGGCATCAGAAGCACAGCATGAACCTTCATAGCCCTTATTCCAAGCCAGGAAGGATCTACACTGCCATATAATGCAATTTCAGAATGCAGATTATTTGCATTGAACTGGGTTGTATGGCAGTGTAAGGTAAAAACATAGTTTTTATAATTTTTTATTGTTTATTGCTTTTATGGTTTTAAATGTATTATGATGTGATTTTTTGTTTTTAACCGATATATGCATTTATATATGGCATCTAATTGTGCTGATTTGTATGCCGGCCTAAGTCGCCTTCGGGCTAATAAGGGTGGGATAAAAGTAATGTAAATAAATAAATAACGTAAATAAATAAATAAATAAATAAATAAAGACAAAGGTTTTCGCCTGACATTAAGTCCAATCATGTGCTCATCTTCATTTCTAAGCCGAAGAGCCAGCATTGTCTGTAGACGCCTCCAAGGTCATGTGGCCAACATGACTGCATGGAGCGCTGTTACCTTCCCACAGAAGCGGTACCTATTGATCAACTCACATTTGCATGTTTTCGAACTGCTAGGTTGGCAGAAGCTGGAGCTGACAGCGGGGGCTCACGGTGCTCCCCGGATTCAAACCTGTGACCTTTCGGTCAACAAGTTCCGCAGCTCAGTGGTTTAACCTGCTACGCCATTGAGGGCTCCATATATGGCAATGTAGACTCATAGTCTACACTCTATAT